AGATAAAATTATTGAAAAATATAATTCATTCTGAAACTCTCCTAGTCCAAAACATCCAATAAAAAAAGTAAATAATGACTATATATTCCAAACTTAATAAAATAATTAGATAGTATGCTTCCGCTTAGAACAATAAATCCAGATACCACAAAATAAACAAACATTTACTACTAGCTAAAAAAAAAATGCAAGCATTAAGTTTAATGTTTAATATAAAACATTTGTCTTGTAAAACAAAATTAAGACATCTTTTAAATTCAGAGAAAGATAAATTTCATCTATCACCAATCCCCAAAATAGTATTTTAATTAAACTATTCTCTGATATTTATATTACTCATATTTACCATAATAATATTAACATCAACACTTTTCATAATAATAAATCATCCTCTGCCATTACCGCTACTTAATTATTGTCCAAACACTAATAATTTGTATTATTACAGGATCAATCTCCCACTCAAATTTTGATTCCTTAATCTTATTTTTAATCTTCCTAGAGGAATACTTAGTATTATTCATTTACATTCAAATAGCATCAAATGAAAATTTATCAATTACCATAAAACCATATTATTAATTTCACTAATATCCACCATTATTATCTAATTTATGAATAATATATACAACATATATCTATATTTCATATACATTAAAAATGACTCTTTCATACACAAAATTGTTAATATTACAAAGAAATAATAACTTAAGCAACTCTAAATTTCCAAACTGTCACATAACAATTATAATGATATGACTATCTCCTAAATTAACTTAATTATCATTGTAAAAATGACATCCTTCCAAGAGGGACCATTATGACACTCCAAATTTATAACTATGAATAACCTCTACGAACATACCACCGCATTATTTAAAAATTATTAAACCAATTCATTAATTAGATTTACCAACTCCATCTTATATCTCAATATGATGAAACTTCGGATCCCTATTAGGATTATGTTTAGTAATTCAAATCATAACAGGCATCTTCTTAGCCATGCATTACACGGCCGACATCAAATATAGCATTTAATAGCAGTCACATCTGTTGAGATGTTAATTTTTGGTTGACTTTTACGAACAATACATGCTAATAGAGCATCATTCTTCTTCATCTGCCTCTGTACTCATGTAGGACGTGGAATATATTATGGATCTTACAATTTAATATTCACTTGAATAACAGAAACCCTTATCTTATTCTTAGTTATAGCTGCAGCTTTTATAGGATATGTATTACCTTGAGGACAAATATCATTTTGAGGAGCTACCGTATTACCAATCTTTTATCAGCAATCCCATACTTAGGAACTGATTCAGTTCAATGAGTATGAGGTGGATTTGCATTTGACAATGCTACACTAACTTGATTTTTTACATTTCATTTCATAATCCCATTTATTGTCGCAGCATTCGTAACAATCCATCTACTTTTTCTTCACCAAACAGGATCAAATAATCCTATAGGAATTAATAGAAACTTAGATAAAATTCCATTCCATCCATACTTCACCTTTAAGGACATTATAGGATTTTAATTATATTAATATCATTAACTATTCTATCACTTACAAATCCTTATCTATTAGGAGATCAGACAATTTTACTCCTGCTAACCCCTTAGTAACACCACTACATATTCAACCAGAATGATACTTCCTATTTGCCTATGCCATTTACGATCAATTCCTAACAAATTAGGAGGAGTAATAGCTCTAATCGGCATCCATTGCCATTTTTATTTACTTTACCTTTCATTATCCAAACAATAAATTTCAAAGAATACAATTTTATCCAATTAATCAAATCTATTCTGAACTTACTCATCTATTGTTATTTTACTAACTTGAATTGGCACCCAACCAGTTGAAGAACCATACATCTTAACAGGACAAATTTTAACCATCAGATATTTTAATATATTTCATCATCAATCCCATAATATTTAAAATATGAGATCAATTAATTAAGTTAATAAGCTTAAAGCATATTGTTTTTGAAAACCAAAAGATAGAATTATATTCTATTAACTTTAGTTTCCTAAAATGTCTCAATAAACTATATTATTTATCCAAAATGAAAAACAACAAAAAAAATCAAATAATTCAAAGAAACAGGTAAATTAGTCCTTCAAGCCAAATATATCAATTTACCATAACGAAAACGAGGTAAAGTACCTCAAACTCAAATAAAAACAAATGATATAAAAACCAATATAAGATAAATAGTAAAGAAAATAAATTACCATAAAAAAATTAAAATAGTTAATATTCTTATAAATAAAATTCTTGAATATTCAGCCATAAAAATTAATGCAAAGCCACCTCTTCTATATTCTACATTAAAACCCGACACCAATTCAGATTCACCCTCAGAAAAATCAAAAGGAGTACGATTAGTTTCAGCTAAACAAGAAGAAAATCAATACAAAAATAAAGGAATGTTAAGAAAAAAAAACCAAACATACTTTTATGTTTGGGTGTTGGTGACCATGATGGAATTTGAAGTTGATTAATACAGTTTTATCAACAATTAATTTCAATTCATTTATGGACAAATAACTTGTAATTGGTTTTAATAATTCAGTCAGATTAGCTTCTAGATGACAAAGATTTTGCCCACTACATATTAACATTGTATCATCTGCATAAGAGAAATCAGATGAGCTTGGAATATCATTAACATATAATAGAAATAGCAAAGGCCCAAGCACCAATCCTTGCGGAACACCAGATGTAATTGAATCTAAATTTGATTTAACTTTGGATAATAAATTTTCAGATTGCTAGACGATATCTGTACATTGCTTACGTTCTGTGAGGTATGATCTAATGAGGTCATTGACTCTATCCCTTATTCCATAATAATCAAGTTTTGCCAATAGTTCCTAATGTGATACACTATCAAATGACTTTGAAAGGTGAATGAATAAATCTGCTGTTTTTCTATTTGGTTCCAAATTTCCAGTGATCTCATGTATGAACTCTACAATAGCAGTGGTGGTGGAGAAGCCTTTCCTGAAGCCAGGTTGTGCTTTATTAAGGATATTATTAGATTCAAGAAAACAATTAAGTCTTGATAATATAACTTTTTTATGGAGTTTGCCAAATACTGAAGTAAGAGTTATAGGACGGTAATTCCAAACATCCTGTGTATTATTATTCTTAGTATTATTATTATTATATTAGTCCTACAATACTAAGTTTTAGGGATTCTGGGAAAGTGAATGCAGCTAGAGATAAATTTATTAAGTAAACTAATATAATAAGAAGTGCAGGCTTAGATTTTTTAAGAATTATTGAAGATATTTCATCATTCCCAGTTGAGCAACAATTTTTGAAGGAATTCATCAGTCGATTAACTTCAGTAGCATTTGTGTGATGGCATTTTGATGTTCCAGAAGATAAGGAATTAATAGTATTATTGGTTACAATGTCCTGCTTTGCATTTAAGAAATGACAGTTCATGGTCTGACAAATAAAAGAAGGATTATCAAGAAACATGCCTTCATGTAGTAGGTGTATGATTTTGTGAGACTGAGTTTTCCTATTGTTAATTATATTCCATAATGTTCCATTAGATTTATTTGTTGAGTTGTTAACTTTATTATTTAATTGATAAGTTTTCTCATTCATCAGTTTTACCCTATATTGTTTTTTATACTTTTCATTATAAAACGGGTCTTTAGTATCTCTGAACAGGTCATACGTGCTTTTTATTTTATTTCTAACAACAAGAATTTCACTTGGAAGCTTAATTTTGTTTTCTTTTCTCTCCATTAATTTGCCTCTTAATAATGAGACATACAATATTCAAGTGACGATTTAATGTACTCAGGAATAAGTTCCATTTCTCATTGGTATCGCTACTATTGTGTACTTCAGTCCATTCCTCTTTTAGGAGATGTTCATTTAACAAATGTAGTTTAGTATCTCTGGTGTCATGGGTGAATGTGTATTTAGGTAGTTCACGGCTAATGGGGCAATTGATTATTTCAATGATTTGTGCAGGGTGATCAGATAGATGAAAATCAATATTATAAGAGTATTTATACATTTCAATGTTTGTAATGATGTGGTCTATGGTAGAGCTGGAATGGGTTGTAATACATGTGGGCCCTAATAATTCTACATCATGTATATTGAAGCTCTTTAGTAAATCATGTAGTTTATTATGTTCAATATTAATGTTCAGATGTCTCAAAATAATTAACTTGACGATTGTTGTTGCCTATAAGTTAAGTTAAATGTTCTTCCAACCTGAGTAGAATGTCATTAACGCTCGAATTTGGGGATCTATAAATGCCTATGATTTTTACGTTTCCTTTCATTGTGTTTACATGTACAGGTGTAGACCTGCTACTTCAATAGTCATTTCGATGGTCATATCTCTAATCCAGTCTATTGATTTGCAAATTAAATTATTCTGGACTATTATTGCAAAATATTTTTATTATTACTATTATACTGCAATCACACTCGTGGTAGGAAATACTCTATAGATATATACTTTATAGAAATGCCGAGTCTAATGTCAAAGCACCTTAACATGTTCATAGTTTCTGATATTATTATAATACTAATGTTCAAGAGTATACTGATAGTAAGTAGTTTTTAAACATTGGAAGAAAGAACCAAATTATTTGATTTCAGGCATGGTCTTTTGTTTACTACATTCAAAAGGGCGTTCCAGGATGAACTTAAATATTTCGATTTGAATTCCCACCTCCAGCTTGATAAACATCTGAAAAACATAGTCGCACGACGCGCGTGCTTGCAACCACACCGCCTACATTGCCAGCTTTTTGAATTGCATGACGTCACACATTTAGTTCGGCTCACGTCGGACCTGTTGTAGATGGCGCAAAAATCATTACCCCGTTTTAACCACCAAGTTTCCCAACCCTAGTACTATAGGAACCCTTGCTACTATAGGAAGCGCTAGTGTCGCCGGGTGCAGCTGCAGGTTAGGCTCGCCAACTTTCCTACTTACAAATTGGCTAATTTGTGACAAATACGAAAAGTGTCTTCTAAATGTACAATTATTCATAATCACTACTTGTAAGAAACCTCTGAAGAAAGCGCGAACGTAGACGTTATCTTTTGTACCATTATGGTCCTGCTTGCGACCCGCGAACTCACGTAGCAGTCACGCACGTTTAAAGAATCGTTGGCAGCAGTTCCTGTTTTAGTTCGTGTAAAGGTGATGCAGCAGAGCGCGCCACCGTATTGATCCCCACCACGTTATATGGGAGTTATAGGCAAACACGTGCGATAAATTAGTGTGACGGGTGTGCTTGAGATGAGGTTCGAATGTTGATCATTTGTTTTATTAGGAGATTTGTTTTGAAATATTGATGCATTTGTGTTGTAAACTTTTCATTACGTTTGTTAACATCGACGTCGTATTCTCATTTTTTGAAGATGCCAAAAGTGAAAGCAGAGAAAAAGAGCAAGCAGCTGCAGGCTATAGTGAAACAAGGTATGTTTGAATGGATATAAATGTTTATAAATACTAGAGATAGAATGAAGAATTCGACTTGTTTTAAGAAAAGCTGAATTTTATTTAAATTTATTTAATATTTCAGGTATATTGTTTAACAAGGATAGAGGTCAGCATATTCTTAAAAATCCTTTGATCATTCAAGCTATGATAGATAAAGCAGCTTTAAGACCATCTGATGTAGTGTTAGAAATTGGTCCTGGTACTGGAAATTTAACAGTGAAGATTTTGGAGAAAGTGAAGAAAGTTATAGCTTGTGAAATTGATGTTAGGTAAGTCATTTGGTTACTTTTGAGCACATAGGATGAAACCTAGAGAACAGAGATTTAAATGCTGCAGTGAGCATTGGGATAAACTGGTAGAAATCTCATGCATTTAAAATTTAAGTTATTAGTAACATGCCTGGTTTTATTCATTACTGAACCCTAGAATACAAACTCTATGATTTTTTTATGTACTTGACCAATTTATCAATAGACCGTATCTGATCGCTGTGTCTGTAATTGTCATTGTTGAGCCAGATGTTACTTTTTTTTATTTGTAGCATCATAGCAATAATAGCGTCATGGGAGTTTTGTGATGCAAGAATGCATGTCACCATGTCCTGGGAACTGTTGGTTTTATATTTGTTAGAAACATTTTTGTATCAAGGTTGATGAGTCAACTTTGAATATTTCATTATTAATCAAATAATAAACAATTAGTTATTAAAGCCAGTCTAACATGTTTCTAATTTGCAAATATATATGTAACATAAATACTAACTTACAGGATTTTTTTACATAATGATCATAAAACATGTCTGCATAAATTGTACATTGTACAATAGATAGATAGATAGATAGATGTACATAGTATTTAGAGTAGGTAGGAATTTGTTAGTATTGTAGAGTTAACACTTACCTGTATTCCAGGGCATATGAGGCAACGAATGAAAATTAATTCCACATTTCATTGAAATTTAGTTTGAAGTGAATTCTTCATAGTTTTTAAACATTTGACACAGTGGATATGTCATGTCAAAAAATTAGTTAATCATCTAGCATAAAATGGTTTGTTGCTAGATGTTGAAATGTGTATGTATTGCATCATTAGCAGCTTCTCCTTAAACCAACTCCCCCGGGTTTACCCTTCACTTCAGCATACAAACTGCTGGGTTAATTTAAATTTGCTGTAATAAAATCGGTGCTTAAAGATAGAATTTGATTCATGTACAATATTTTGAAAATTTGAGTACTTTTCGTGTAATTTTGCATAAAATAGGGGGGAGTCAGTACCAGCTGTTTTAGCAAAATTAGTTGCAATGATGTAATTGCAATAATAAGAGATGCTAGTTTCTAAGGCCAAGGTAAGCTGAATGTTGTATTTGTTCTGTGTTCATGAGGAGGGCAGCAGGGGAATTTTATTAACAATTTCCTGTAGTTCACGTTTATAAATCAGCCATTCATTTGTCACTTTGCATCCCATTAAAGCAAAATTACCAGTAAAAATCACCAAAACATTTTTATCACTGTGTTTGTTTGTTTGTTTCAGGCTTGTTGCAGAATTACAAAAACGAGTGCAATGTACCCCACTGCAAAGTAAACTTCAGATAATGATAGGAGATGTTCTGAAAACTGATCTGCCATTTTTTGATCTGTGTGTTGCTAATATCCCTTATGAAATATCTTCAAGGCTGGTTTTTAAATTGCTGCTTCATCGACCCTTCTTCCGATGTGCAGTTCTTATGTTTCAACGAGAGTTTGCACAACGACTAGTTGCAAAGCCTGGAGACAAGCTTTACTGTAGGCTATCTGTAAACACTCAATTATTGGCTCGAGTGGATCTATTAATGAAAGTATGTTAATAATGTGGAAAATGTTATTTATGGTTTACTGTTGTCAGTGTTAAATGCTTTTATTTATTTTTTTTAATTTCAGGTGGGGAAAAACAACTTTAAACCTCCTCCAAAAGTAGAGTCCAGTGTAGTGAGACTGGAGCCTCGAAATCCTCCACCTCCCCTTAATTTCACAGAATGGGATGGGTTGACTCGTATAGCTTTCACTCGTAAAAATAAAACTTTATGTTCTATATTCAAACAAACTACAGTTCTTTCAGTTTTAGAGAAGAACTATAAAATTCACTGTTCACTAAATAATATTGTAAGTAACATTTCAATTGATTAAAATGTCTCGTATTGAATTGTCTGTGAATTACCTCCCGAAATTTGTTTTTAGACACTACCTCAAGATTTTAATATTAAAAACAAGATTGAAGAGATTTTAACAACAAGTGAGTTTGAAACAAAACGTTCACGAACAATGGATATAGATGATTTCATGAAGTAAGTATCTTATGATACCAAGTCAGCAAAATTTAGTCAATGATTTTATGTGCATTTGCATAGAAGATTTAATGGCACCTCAAAATTATGTAACCTAAGAACAAATCTAAGAGTCAACATTCGAAGAACTAGAGAAATGGAACAAAGGGCAGATTTTTAGAAAGCAAAAATTGTCTACGGAATGAGTGATAAAGAAATTAAACTTCTCAGAAAACTTAAACGCATGCGGAGAGAGAGAAATAAAATTATCAAAGTCTTAAAGACTCACTAAGTGTTGAAAATGCAACTTGTAGGTATATTGAAAATAATTTCTCTCCCCTCACAATTTTAAAATTTTTTTTAGCTGGCTTAGAATGTGTTTAGTTTCTTATCACATTTTAAATTAAACTTAAATTTATCAGAAAAATCATGTGTATCAAAAAGTTCTTTGCATTGTTTGAAATGTTTATTCCATTTTTTCTTAATGATAAGACACTTTTTTAAACATTTGCTTTCTTTTCTGCAGACTTTTACATGCATTCAATGCTGAAGGAATACATTTCAGTTGAGCTGATTGCAGCGATCAAAATTGCAGTACTGAGAAATGTTCTTTAATCAGATTAAATATCCTACAAGCATTATGTATAATTTATTTTGTAATAAAGTGAAATTCTTATAAATTTCTATAACTGATTCTTTGCATATTTTTATGACAGGTGATTAAAGAAATAATAGTAATATGAAGAACCCATTTTAATAAAGATATAACATTATACAAATGAAAAATCTCTGTACACTCTGGAGGTTTTTCCCGGGAAAAGACCTGAAATGTTTACTGGCGTTTGGAACGTACACCTTGGATTATGGCATTACTTCCATCTCTCACAGGCCATACATAATACATCTGCATCACAAATAACTTATATAATTTCAATGATCCCGAATGGTGTAAAGTTATATTGAAACACTATAACTTATAATGAATGTTGTTTAGGAATGTATTTTCACTGCTTGTTTGGTATTCATATTCAAATTCATAACGCACTGGATAAAATTAATCTTGAATAGTTTTTTGTATCTCTATTAGGAAAATACATTTCTAGAATCTGGTTATCAAAAATCAAATCGTACAGTACAGAGAGGATCAAGCATGTGGAGGACCTAATAATTAAATCAGGCATTTTTTTATTGTCTTCACGAGCTTGAATCATCGTTCCTATATGACCGTTTTCTCTTTGACTTTTTCCCTTTAGTAAGTCTGACAGGAGATGAACTTTCAGATCTCCGCTTGTCCTTTCGCTTCCTGATGTCGCGCTTGTGCGATTTATGTCTGTGATGCTTGCAGTCGTGGTAATGTGATGAACTACGTGAAGAAGATGCAACTGATGAATAAGATGCTTCTCTCTGGCCACTAGATCCCGCAGATTTAGTGATGACAATACTTCTTAACTTAGGTCGATCAGATGACAGCGATGCCCATTCATCTTCTGTGTATGGAGGATCATAACAGTCAAGTGAATAATCATGATCTGTTTCAGGTTCCTGTTTTCGCACAATACGCCATACTTCTTTACGAGATTTTCTGTTCTTAGATCGAATCCTGTCAATTTTGCTATCATCGGAAGACTCACGAGGTGAGACTATTCTTTTACGCTTTCCCTTTGATTTATTCCTTCTGTGTTTAGCACTCTCAGATTCTGAATCCGAATCTGAACTAGGGATTCGCCGCCTCCTTACTTCTGCAGAATCACCTTCATCAGATGAGCTATGAGGTTTGCGAGGTTTCTTGCGCTTTGGAGTGACCTTTTTATGGGTTGATGGATGTGGAACATACTCTGAATCAGAGGTATCTGATGTTTTTGATAATGATGATGATGATGATGATGATGATAGCAAATATTTTAAGCTGTCATCCACAGATTCAGATCCTCTCTCAACTTCATCTGCTGTCTCCACATCAGAATTCAAAGTAATTATTTCTGGTGTTCTTTCGTGTCGAGGTTTTACGTATCCTACAATTACACAGTCATCAGAGTCACTGTCCACAGTCTGACATGGGATTTCACGACTGCTTCCAGGCAAAGGTGGATAAGACCTTACGGTGTTAACTCTGTCAAGATGTGAGTAGGTAGGATTTTGCAATTCACGTGTGATCATTAATATAAAGTCTTCATCTACTACACTAGATGGCCCAGCAATTGGTGACAATCTTTGAGGTGGGCGAGATGAACTGGCTGACAAGTTCAAAGGTTGAATATCATTTAAACCTTGAATAACTGGAAATGGTTCAGCAGCATTGGGTCCCGGAGTTGGAGGTCGTGGAGGAAACAACGTGACTGGATTGTTTACTGAAGGAGATAGCACAATCATGTCACTGTCACTACTGTCGGAATCAATGGCTTGTACTTCTGTGGCAAAAGATGGACGATGTTGGTAATCGGCTGACTGATCAAAACCAACCATGTCATAAGGTGACCTTGCAAAGGCATAAAACTCGTGAAGAAAGTGGTGTGTGTTTGCCCCAATATGTGGGGAAAGTCGACTCTCAAATTCTACACTGTTAATGGGGTGCTGAGTGAGTAGATTCAAGATAAGATCCACCACCATCATTAAATGTGAACTAGGGACACGTAGAACATTCAATTCTCGATTGAGCCATGGCACCAAACGATGAGCCTGAGCTGGATTCAGTCTGAAACACGAGATCTATAATAAATTTCAATACTGGATACATACAAGAAAATTCCTTTCTGAACAGTTAATGGATTAAAGGCTATTCTAGAGATACAGTTTTGAATTCTAAAACCTGACTTAATCAGGTTTTTCATAATTGAAATATCCAGGTTGCTCATGAAGATAATTTTGAAATTAACATCTTTCTCAATAATGAATATTTACAAATACATTTAATTACTCAATAATTAAAAAAAAAAATCGCTAATTACTAGTCTTACTGTTCTCAAATTTGTAAACTCGGCAAATCATTGCCATCCTAACACAATATCCAATTCTTTTATTACATATTTTGCTACTTTCACAAAATTATTTTTATGAAAGGAAGTATTTTTAAAAATTCAGCACTTTTTACTCTACACTACTGCATGCTGTCTACTCTAGGTACCCTTTTTGAAGACACGAGGTGTTCTCACCAACTGGCAGGTTGTGCACATCAACAGATCACTTTCACCTTTGAGTGTGAAAAGTATTGTATCACTGACCTTGCATTTATTGACATTTAACCTTAATGTCTGAGAAACTTTGCACAGACTGCAATATGCTACATTGCACAGTGTACATTGCACATTGCACAATATGCTACATTAACTCAGAAAATTATGCCCTTGAAAGTACATTTTTGTGTATCATAGAGACATAAAAAACAAAACTTATGTCCTAATCTACAAAATGAGATTTTTTCAGACACCTGATTCCAAGTATACTGTTTAAGAGATACTCATATTTGCATTTGTGAATGTGAAAATGATATCTATACTAATATATAAAGCCATAAGGGCATTACAGAATGATAATCTCTGAATGTACTAGATCAATATCAACAAAACTTTTATGCTAATTTCCTTGGTCAGGAGTACTTGCTTTGAATTGTAACCACAAACCTTAATATTTTCACAAAATATTTACTTCTCTGGACATTTCTCGCCAAGCATTGCATTGCATCACATATTCAAGAGTGTTTCAACATGCAATCATTTAGCTGTGTGCCTCTCTCACAATTTAAAATTGAGTTAATCAATGCAAAGAATTGCATGTAATAGAAGAATACTTTGTTTATTTTCACTGTCAATTGTCTAATACAAAATTATTCTGAGTTTTTCTTCGCATAATAAAGATAACTTGGATACTGATTTTAATTGTGTCTAGGTGTTAATGTATTAGGTGTATCAGAGAAATGCATTGATAGGGAGAAATCATTTTTTGATGCGATGTTATTAATACAATATGCTACATATACAAAAAAATCTTTTAAAACTTTAAAATATTACTCAAGACAGGAATGTAGGTCTAAAAAATAAGGTATTTTAATATACATTCATGTGCACAAATGTGCGTTAAAATATAAGTTAAATATAAGTAGTTAAAATATAAGTATTGAATTGTTGCTTTAGAAAACCAATGTTTAATATTAAACTTAGTGATAAGATTTTTCATATAAATTAATTCAATTTCCAGTTCCACTTTAGCTCTCTCAAGTTTTTTTTCTTTCTGCCTTCAATATTCAATTAATTGCTCTGTAAGTGAATTATCGGAATATAATTCTGTGGGATAAAAATGTTAAATGTTTATTTATTTATTTATTTATTTACGCCAAACGGCTTTATCCATTTATGTTATAATACAATTTGCAGTTATAATATATTAATTAATCACACACTGAATGAATACAGTAATCTGTAGAAATACGATACTTTATCAAATTTAATGTTTTTCACCTTTGATAAAAATGTTTTTCTGAACAGTACTTATTTACCAGGCTAACTATCCTGTTTTTAGGGCATCGACGTACATAGTTTTTCGACGATTTCACTGCATTCAATAACCTATACGATCTCAAACCTGGTTTTGGGCATATGAATTGGAATTGTTCCAATATCTCTTGGCAATCAGTTTGTCCATTGAGAGTGTTATAAAAAAACATAAGATCCGAAATTTCTCTCCGGTTTATCAAACTGTCGATGTTGAAATCATCAAAGACGTTCTCGACGCTTATATTATATCCTCTGTTCTGCATGTAATATGTGATGTATTTGTAGAATTTTTTCCACTTTATCAATAAGGAGATTTGTATATGGTGACCAAACAACTGTGCAGTATTCAAGTCTTGAATGGACCAATGTCGAATATAATTGAATAAGTGTGCGCACATCGTTAAATTCTCTACCCGACCTAAGTATAAATCCAAGTATTCTATAGGCTTCTGATGTGATCTTGTCTACGTCTCTCGAGAAAGTCAACTTATTATCAATTATGACACCCAAATCTTTCAAAAATGCAACTTCCTGAAGTTCATGTTCAAGTTGGTATGCCATAGGTCTTCGATGGAATGAACGAGTGAAGGACATCACCACACACTTATCAATATTCAACTTTAGCTTGTTTACCCTACACCATTTGCTGAGTTCGTTAATGTCTTGTTGTCCGGTCTATAGTTAATCACAGTAGAATGTTGACATCCTCATCATCAGTTATTTTTCTAAAAATTTTCAGATCATCAGCGTATAACAAATAGTCTGATTTTAGTGTATTACCGATGTCATTAATAAACATAATGAAAAGGATTGGCTCTAGGTGCGAACCTTGTGGAACACCAGAGGTTACTTTATATTTAGTCGAAATATGGCCATTTACTCGAACCTGCAGATATCTTTCTGTCAAATAAGAACGAAACCAGTTCAGAGCTTTACCTTTCATACCGTATCGACTTAGTTTATTGCATAGCATGTTATGATCTACCATATCGAACGCTTTACTGAAGTCCGTGTAAACTGCATGTACATCTTTACCTTCATTCATCCCATCAAGTATTTGATTAACATATACATAAAGGTTGGTAGTTGTGGATCACCCCTTGATGAAACCATGCTGCTTTGTCGATATGATGTTTTTAAAAGGAAAGGTCACTTGTGGAAAATAATCTTTTCAAACAATTTAGATATGGACGATTGGATGCAAACCGGTCTATAGTTAGTTACAGTAGATCTGGATCCTGATTTATGTATTGGGCTAATGTAAGAAGTTTTCCAAGCCGTTGGAAAAATGCCCAATTCCAATGATCTGCCAAAAAATGTGGGTTATTGGCTCAGCCAGTCCAACAGCACAGTTTCTGAGGAACAGATTTGGTATCCCATTGGGTCAGCACCTTTTTTCAAATCTAGCTTATAAAGTTGATCATAAACATTATCGAAACGAACGTTAAATTCTGAAAGATCAGCATCCTGAATAGTTTGTAGTTTCAGAGGTTTCATCGTTAAGACTATTTTCGTAGATGCTTTCAAAAACCGATGCGAATAGGTTACTCACTTCACCTCCGTTTTTTGCCATTTTTTCGTTTCAGGACATTGATGATGGAATATTCAGATTGCTTGGTCTTGTTTTTAATGTAATTCCAGAACTGATTAGAGTCCAGCTTTATCTTAGCTTCCATATTCGATATGTATAGGTCGTAACATTTCTTATGGATTTTTTTGCATTCTGATCTCAATTTTCGGAAACATTTGTAAGCGACCCTCGTTCTTGTATCTTTATATTTCGCATGAGCCTTCTTTTTGAGCTTAATTTTATCAATTCTCTGGAGAACCAACGGGGATAACTTTTCATATTGCCGAGGTATATCGGAACAAATTGTACAATTCGTTCATGAATTTTCTCGTAGAACCAGTTAACCTTCTAGTCCAGAGATTGAAATTAATAGAGTTCTATCCAGTAACATCTCAAAAAGAAGCTATTAAGCCCAATATAATCTGCTTTCTTGAAGTTATAAGTTAGTTTATTATTTGTTTTAGGACTAGTTTTGATGTCAGCATATATACTCAACGCTGGATGGTATTTATCTTCCTTGATGATAGCTTCTGTTTCGATTACTTTCACTTCTGTGCTGCCAAAACACAAATAGAGGGTATAATCGTTCGTGTTACGAATTTCATTGTACTGTTGACAGTTATTCAATTGCATCTCGCAGTCACTTCGATGGTAGCTGCTGGGGAGGTTGCAATCTCCTGTAACCAATAATTCACAGCTGGGATATTTCTCCTTAATGTAAGATATTGTCGCCGTATGTTTAACATATAACAACTGTTGATTTTGGTGGTAAGTATACACATCCGATCACAACATCACCTTCAGTACATCTTACCTTGACAAATATTTGTTCAATATCGTTGTTAATAATTCTGCAGATGTTATGTTTCCCTTCAATGACACTGCACCACCACGTTCACAATTACTTGATAAATTGTCTCTATCTTTTCTGAATATCACATATGTATCATCTATTTCTCCATCTGAAATTGATGGATTTAACCATGATTCACTTACGCATATAATATCACAGTGATAGCTTGCAGAAGAGGTTAAGAAATTGTTCACTTTGGTTCTCAAACCTCTCGTATTGTAATAGTAGATGTGCAATTTACGTTTCTCTGTGTTTCTCTCTCGTCGACCGAAAAATACGCTCATCTACTATCTTTGGAATCCCATTTACGTATTTTATGGTTTTGTTTCCTTCACCATTTTTTATCAGAGTATCGAGTTCCGAACGCAGGTCTTTAAGATGTTTTTGTTGAGCTTGAGTTAAGTTTTGGTTAAATAAGGCAGTATTTCCATCTGCAGATTTGATATTTAACAGGGTTCTAGCATCTGTCATTGATGGTGTCTGAATCAAGAGAGGAAGAGTTTTTCCCCTGTATTGGTCGACCAAGTCGACGAAGCTTCAGATGTGGTACCATTTCTGATAACTCCTGTGGAATTAGTGCTGTTACTTTCTCGTAATCATTCTGTCGTCGGTCAGCTCTGACAGGTTTTTCCGACTCCGGTATTTTGAAAGCTATAACTTCGGTTTCACGTTTTCTGCGTTCATCTATTTCAGATACGATGTTTTCAGGAACAACTGAAAAATCATTGAGTGAGGGTAGTCTTCCTTCTACATTTTCAATTCTTTTCTTTAATTGTTTGAATTTTTGAGTAATGACTATTTTGTTCTGCGTATCGATTCAAATCTGATCTGATACCCGCAACATTGTTTTCAATTTTTCTAATTTGCTCTTTGGAAGGAGCTAAATGTTTCACAAATAGTTGTTCCAATTCAGATTTGCTGGTAGACAACGGTGATTCGTCGACTTCCTCATCACTCTCATCATCAGACTCGATTATACTAATTTCAATGTTACATTTCGAGCATTGCCAGTTGTTTTGACCGGTTTTTTTTTATTTCAGCAAGAACTTTTTTTAATTGTTCATTACTCAAGTTGCTACATTTTTTGTGAAACCAGTTTTTACAGTTATTACAACTCAAACTTCCTGAATTTTCTCTAACTTGTTTGGAGCAACTTGCACGTGTGTATTTATTTGATGCCATCTCAATGTTTTCTTTAATTTGAATTTCCCTGCCAGGAAATTCGTTAGCAGTAGTTGTTAATCCTGATTCGTACTGCTGCGTGATCGGTGAATTTATCTAGAGAGAATATAATTTAATGTCTCAAGTGTTGGCAATAATTTCGAAACAGTGTCGTATACTCAAATGATCTAGCCGTAATCGGTTCCGTAAATTGAGGTTAGGAAGTAGTCTCCGAAATTCAAATAAAAATTTTTATGTTAAAACTGTCATCTAAAAAAACAGTTTCTTATTTTGACTCATTGCACTTCACTATAAACAAACAAAAAAGTCCAATAAATTCACTCACACTTTTTCTAACACAAGATTCTCTAGATGAACATTCCCACTCAATCTCTTCAACACTTCATACATAAAAAAAACTTATTCCAATACCAATTCAAAATTTTAACACTGTGAGGAACACATTCAAATAAACAGACAGCAAGACATATTTAAATAATGACAGGGTGCACAGTTACATACACGACCTGTTGACGACACGACCATACGACCACGCGACCATACTACCACAGTAAGTAAGGAGTTAAGTAAGCAGTTTTCCATTCAACTAAAGAGAAACACTACTGTCGATAACAATTTGCAACGACAACTTCTAGAATCCAATAGACATCACAGGTTTTGGAGAGCGTGTTCATAATTTTGAGGGCATTGTAGATCTGTTACCATCATTGTTAACTACAGACCTTATCATTCCTCGTCATGTATTCAGACGAAGCTGAATTAAAAAAGACTAGTTGATGTGCCAGATCTTGTGGGACTATTAAAACTGCTTCCAATTCTCACTTCATGCCCCCCCCCCCATACACACACTGAATGTGATCATATATATTCAAAAATAGAAGTATATACTCATTCAATCTCTCCTTTGCATACATCACAAATAAGCACATATGAACAAATTAAAATAAATTTAAAATTCAACATAGAGAATTTTTCAGTTATTAGAAGACATCAAGTTTGTTGAACACAAAACAGCACTCACCCCATAAGTCCAAAAACAAGTGTAATTTAGATTAACACTTGATTTTTGATAAATTATACAAACATAATTTTTGTTAAATATTTCTCACATTGTTAATATTTACATTACAGGTGATTTTAAAATTGAATGTTTTTGGGGAAGCAAATATTGAATGTTCTTTAATGAAGATTCTCAGTAAGTCAAACGTTTTGCAAGTAAATGAGCTCCAATTTTTCTCACAAAATCATATTTTGAAAGAGATTCGGCTCCTCTGTGTTATTCTCATAGTTTAATTTCAATTAAACTATTTCAGGACTGAAAAATGAGAAATGTCAAAATATGTACATTTTTTTGATAAAATAATTTACTCGAGGATGAAAAATGATGACTTTATTCGAGGATGAAAAACTAAATCATTGTGATAATTGGGACAATCTGTCAACTTCTTTACAGTATATTTCCTGCAATATTCAATTTTGAGAAATATGTTCGTAACTGAAAGCGATGTTCATAGTTATAAGGCCAAGTAACTTTGTTTACATATTTGCTAGGGCAATGAATAATATCAAGTCACAGATTGTACATACCCGGAACATGTTTAGAAACAGTATTGTCAAATTTGCCTTTGTGGGTCAGGTATTCCCCAGTAAACACTACGGTTTGTATTTACTAGGCTGTCCGGGTAACGCCGCGTCCACAGCGAAGGTCCCGACGTTTCGGTCGCCATTCTGCGACCTTCCTCAGGGCGTAATGCGCGGAGATTTTTTTTTTGACCAAGGCATACGTCTACACGATGCCTGGAAACACCTATTTTACCATGACGTCCGACCTCGACCGGACACGGACCTAGCTGCTCCGCAACGTCCGATTACGGACGGAGCGCCTCCTCTCACCCCGCGGGGAGCCCGCCCCTGATTGGCCGGTGCACTCTCTCCGCATTGGCCGACCACCCGGCCAACCGGCACTCGGGTAGAGGTGAAACAGAGCCCCATTTAAACTCGTGCGCAGCACATCTCCGCGCACGGTGATGAAATGAAACACGGACACGTCGCAGAACAGTGAAGATCTACGTTCGGTACTTTCGTTACGATTTCCTCCTGCTACTTGGTCTCCGCTGCGGCGCGACAAGTACCTGGCGCACGTGGTTGAGCCCTGCTCCCACGTTGTGTTACGTGGAAAGTACGCGCAGTCTTCCCTTCACGTACCTGGCGCTCTTGTGATTGAGCGTCGCTCTCACGAGACGTTCAGAGAAAAACCGCGGGGAAAGCGGCGAAGGTCGAGGATTTTCCCCGCGATTGAGCGCTGCTCTCGCGGGGCTTGAGCAAATATGCACCGCTAACCCATGTCTACCATTGAGACAGGTGCCACCCCTCGGCGCTCGTCGTTGGGAGATGATCAACTACAACATGAGCACAGGCGCTCCCTAAGTGACAGCGTCACCTGGTCGATTTCGACCAAGTCGACGCTGCCCCCAAGTACGGACACATACGCACGCACCGTACCTGGTGTACCTCCACGGAGGAGCTTGCCGTGAGGCAAGCCCTCCGGACCTGGAGTCATTGCATGTTGGTGCTGAAGACACATCCGCTTGAGGCCGATTGAAGTTTTATTTTTAGCCAACACCGCCACCCCAAACACCCACATCCCTAACTGCCGCAGCGCGGACTACCCTCAGCTACCTCAATATAGAGCCGCTCCTGGGCGCTACTGGGGAACGTTCCGAGAAGCCGAGCGGGAGCAATTCCGGCAACGTCGCGCCGCGAGCTCCTCGACCTGGGATACAACGCGGGTCTTAGCAGGCGCCACTTAAACCACGCGACGTCGCGGGGCAGCGCCATCTCTCAATGATTCGGCAAACCTGTGAGGCAGCATCGGGTGCGCGAGCGCGTTTCTACCATATACGAAGCAGCACGCCTCTCGCCACTCCGTGCCTCTTCTATCTCCTCTCTCTCCGCCGGCAGCGACGCCGTACGCGACGGCACACACGATTCGGTCTGCTCAGACACAGAGCACCACTGCTCAAGGGCGCCCTGGTGCGCTACAAATGGAGCGCCTAATCTCGATGAACACCCCCGTGGAGGCGAAACTCCAAACCGTCCCAGCGAGCTGCCCGGATTGGTCAGCAGCGATCTCATTCACCACACGCCAGGTTTGGCCGAGCGTTCCCACCAACAACGCCCAGCATCCCTCAACTCTCCGCTGTCTGAGGAGGAGGGCAACATTGCGGCGCTGACAGTCGTAGAGCAAACGCTACAGGAGCGAGCTCCGGATCAGCGCCGCCCCCGACCGGGATCGCGGCGGCCTCCCCGCCACCGTCTCCGCCCGGCAAGCGCCCTTGCCAGCGCGCCGGCTCCTCGGAGCCAGAGGAATGCAGACGGCAAGAGCTGCAAAGCCCAAACCACAGCAGCCTCCGCGGGGCGAGAAGGCGAAGAAACGAAACGCACGGAAGGACGAACGAAGGGCCAAATCAGGCTCCCGACGGCGCCGCTATCGGCTAACCAGCTCCTCCACAGGACCAAAGAAAGCACCGTCGTGCGGTGAGTGCGCCACAGATTCTGAGCGCCGTAATCCTCCGCCAACCCTTCCCTAGGTGAGACGAGCATCTGACGCTGGCCTCGTCTCCGTAGCCAGCGCAGTCGGCCCGCACCGGAAACACTCGGACGGGAACCTCCGCGCAGGTTTCCGTCCGCGGATGCTTCCAGTGGATCGCCTCGCGTCCACCCCGTCGCTTAACGGCCACCAAAAAGAGACCGTACAAACACGTGTGAGCATCACCTCAGACTAGGTCTTAAAGCACGGCAGAGAACTTGGGCACAGACGGGGTACACAGGCGACCATTGTGAGGTCACCAGCCAAAACTGACGACCAGTGGTATGAAATACACACCCTTTGCACCGTGTACATACGCTGAGGCGAGCGATAACGCTTCGCAGTGAAAAGATATTTTGTTTATTTTGCACGCCTCCGTCCCGATAACTCTGAAAAGCTCCTCAGAGTATTTGTCAGAGGGGTACCGCAAGGCTACAACCGCTGGAGAACGTGGAAAACGAGCTGAACGAAGCTCGGCTACGCTCTCCAATAGGAATAAGACAAATCTGCCTGCTGAAGGAAATCGTGGTCGCCAGAAACCACGAATTCCGGTGTAGCCAATGCTGCAACAGGCATCGAAACGTCGGCGTGTGGAAAGTGCCCACAGGAAAAGTTCGATTCACCCCTCAGCGACAGCGCCGCGTCGCGTAAAATCTATCTCTTGAAGCTTAGAATCTTTCGCATCGAGCTCCACCAGAGAAAAGTGGGCCAGACGCGATTTTGTATGGCGATGCTGCCGATAGGGCGACATCGCTCGTAATTGCGGGTACGATGTGCGCTGTCGCCCTCTGCACGGGCGATGGGTCCCTGCAGGAGAACGACCAACGCGGACAACGGCCGCATTGCCCAAAAACGCGAATTTTTGAATTTAAAGCCCGTCTGCTGCAATTGGGTAAGCCATTCAATGTTGCCACCGCGTCGTCAGACCGCGTGCAATAGAAACCGAGGGACCCCCCGCCAGTCGTTCCTAAATAGAAACTCGTCGCCTCGGTCGGCAGCTAGCGCGGCCGGCTGACACGAGGTCACGGCAGCGCTCGGGCGGCGCAGCGCCCCCCCCCCAGAGGGCCAACGCACCGCCCTCTGGGGCGGCGGAAAGCGTGCGCACTGCACCCGCAGCTGCCGCCAAACAGTCACATGACCAGTTTTTAGCGATGTTGAGCGAACCCTAACTATGTCCCCGCACTATCTAACACAATCAGAACGTAGATACACCGCCGACTCGCACCTCTCCGCGCTTCACGTTGAAGCCACGAAGTGCAGATCTCACCCAGCCAGCAACTCGATTTCCGGTTTTACCAGAAACCGTGGCTCAGTGATGAAACATAAATTCAAACTCCGGGGATTTGCTGTTTTATCGCCGAGAGCGCTGGCAAGGCCAGGCGGCGGAGTAGCAATCGCGCTGGCGCCGAGAACTGCCGAGAAGCAGCTTGAAGCCGAAA